ATACAAAATAAGATGCAAGGGGGGAAAAGGGGGAAGTGGTGGGAGGGGGTATTTGTCAGTTTCCAAGTTTACCAAACTGAAAGGACTAAAAGGAATTTTGGGCTTGGGATCAAGCAGCAATATTTTACACTAGATATTTGTCAGGGACGAACACGCTAGAAGCGTTTTAAGGCCGGCACCGTGGAAAATCTACCAAATGCTGCGAGGAAAAAGGAGTATGAGGTTTAACGAGAGCCAATAAAAGAAAGTGGTTGGGAATCATAAGGAAAGTGATTTCTGAACAGAATTTCTTCGCCAATGAAACGTGCATCGGTTGATTGATCACTTATCGGAAGACCATAAGAAAGCATTCCTCTTTTTACTCCGCCATATGTAAAATTATAGTCAGTATAAATGGTCATAAAAAGTTAGTTTTCCATGAAATTTTACTCTTACAATTTATCTCAATCATGAAAATTCTAGACTCGAACTCGGTGAAAATACAATATCATAATACCATGTACGCAATGTCAATACGAACTCCGCTCATTTGCACAATCACGAGCAAATAAGAGATTAAAGTCCCATAAAATCGACCGCAGTCATTTGCCGAAAAACTTGCTCTGATGAAAGTATAAAAGTGTTGCTGCATGAGCAAACTGAACGTAAAATTCTGGGACACAGAATCGAGGCCAAAAAAAGGATCATTTTCATGCCCCATGTAATATTTCTCTTGAGTTACGGTCCAGTGACTTGAAGTGAAAAAAGACGTACAAGAATAAACCTCTCTTAGCAACATACCTAGTTTGACTACGGTGAACCACAATGGGAACAGATCTTGAACAGGGACAGTGTTAGGGCAACATGCTGCTTGCCAAGCCCTTGGTTTTTTTAATTTTTTTTTCATTTTCCAAAGCATCTGTTTTCCAGATGCTATTTAAGCGAGCAAAGAGTATACTTTCACAGGTTAAAACTGTAACATTTTCTTATTTAATTTCTTATTGCGATTTCCGGGAAGGCCGGATTTCTTTCTTTGATTCCAAGAGTGGCTAATTTATTTTCTAAAGTTATTGGTTTAATTTTCAGAGTTATCTTGTTTTGTTGGTACGGTCGCCGGTCACTTGGCTAACACAACGATGCAAGACTACAATTAATTAAAACTTGCTGTGTTTTTTTTTTTTGTATGTTTGTGTGTTTCTTCGTAGACGCCATTTCACGTGAGAATTCTCAACGTGCAGTCAGCAAAGACGAAAATCAAATTTAAGACTGGCATTGTTTGCTTTACGCAACCGAGGAAAGGAAATAACTAGCGGTAATTTTTTCTACTAAATCCCTCGATATTACTTCGATCTATAATGTAATCTGATTACAAAGCAAACAAAATTTTAAGAGAGTTGCGGGAAGATAAGAGTGGTTTGAAAGTGTAAGTGAGGCTAATTTCCTTGGCTTTTCGTGTCCTACTGTCCAATCAATAGCGCTTTCTTTAGCAGGATCTTTCACACAAAATGAAACGAAAAACATATTGTGTAAACTGTAAATTCAATTTGAGTTTGTGCACGTGCGCGACTTAACCCTAAATGATTACATGTGAATTGGCGAATAGCTAGTACATAATCGATAAGTCATTCGTTCTTTAAGAGAGTTCAGATTTGCGTTTCAAGTACATTTGTGTAAAACAGGTTTAGCTGTAATTAATTCTGAATAGCTGTAACCCTTTCTCTGGTAACTAATGCACTGCCAGGAAAGTCTATTTTCCCATATTAACTCTTAGCGGCCAAGTTCACTTATGCAGTAAAATTGAGTTAGCCTGTTTCATTTAATTTATAATCTTGGTCAGCCATGAATTTTTTATGATAGGGAAAAACGATTTGCTTGTAAAACAAAAATATTTATCGGCGCAATATACGCACCTCACAAAAGAGAATTCTCGTCCTTGTAGAAACAAATTTGCACGCATTTGCAAACTTTTTATGGAAGACTGACCTTTATCACGGGCTAAAACCCCCTCCAGGAAAACTATGCAAAATAACTCTGAAACAGTGACCTTCTTGAAAAATACAAGAGCCAAGAAGTTCCGAAGAATTATATTCTTAAACAAGTCTGTTCCTTTTAATAAGCATTCATTCGCGACCGGAAAAAGCTAAGTGCTCTCCATATTATACTGTACTTTACAAAGCGATGTACTAACGAATTTAAAATGGGTACATTTCCAACAGCCTTGTGTCAAGTCACCATCTCATTAACTTATGTATTTCCTTTGAAATTAGCGGGCTTTTCCTATGAAAGCTTTACCCATTTGACCCCTAATATGCACTCACAGTTTTTAGTAATGCTTAATTGAAATTTCGGCGAGGAGCATTGTAAGATTTACAGGTTGCTTAGTCCAGTGTACCGCGGCTGCTTCTGTCTGAAATTAGCATACAGGCGACGAAACATTTCAGCCAATGAAGCAGTTATTGTCCAGGGGCGAACACTGCGAAAAGTAAAATAATGTTTGTTCATGATGAAATTATCTTTTATACAGGTTAAACACGAAAAATAGTTGTTATAAGTCACTTTAATTAGGCTTTTCTTTCGCATATGTATGGCATCTGTCCTTTTCCCAGGGCCCATAAAATCGTCTTTAGTTCAAATCCCCTAAGAACAAGTTCGTGTTTCCTCGACCTTGCAACCGATACGACTTTAAAATGGTCGAGGGCAAGGGCACCCAATCATAACTCCTTAAATGTTTTTCCTTTTTCTCTGCGACCAAACACCACCTAAATTTCTCTCCTTATGTGTCGAAATCACAATATCTTAATTTTGACTTCCGCACAACAATAGCAATTTGGCTGATGTTTTGTTACTGTGGCGTACTTCAACCATCCTAAATGAGCAAAAACTGCTTCTACAGATGCGTTTCATTTTTTCTTTACAATCACTTTTTTTTAACTTGTTTGATCTAAGTCAACGTAGCGCCATTTGGCCGGTTTAAACAGACCAAAGGCTTTGCGTAGCGCCTCAAACAGAGAAACACATTTGTTATTCTATTTTCAACCTTGCATTTTCCCCTCCGAGCGGGAGACATAGAGCTGTAAACTTTGACGAGTATTAAATTTGCAGGTATTGTGAGCTGTGGGCGGGAAAGGGTATTTATTACACGGGGGCAGTCAAAAGAAAGAAACAAAATAACTCACAAGTTTGGGTTATACTTATAAAAATGTAATTTAAACCTTGTATTCAAAATTTCTTCAACTTGCTCGCGTAAATATACTTTCAGTGAAGAGCGACTTCGCCTCTCGTTCAGAGTCTGATGTAATAATAACAAACCATTTACTGAAAAATGGATACGTTGGCAAGATTCAAACACCTTTGTTCCACACTTGACGCACTGTTTACAAAATAAAATTTATCAGGAGTAACGGCACAGTGAATTGATATCTAACCTGTAATTTTTCAATAGTTAAAATAAATCAGTTGCAGTCACAGTTTTGAAGGGAGAAAATTTTGTTTAACAAGCAAAATTGGAGCCATAATAATTCTTTCACCTTTCAAGTGGAAAAAAGATAAAGAAACTTGAAATGGTCGAAAAATACAAATGTGCCATTGTTCAAATTTTGTACATTATCCATTTTCAACCCAAGTTTGTCGCCGACGACTACAGAATGATAATTTTTCTCTGTTGAGCCCAGCTTCCGAGGGATTTCAAGGAGATTTTAAGAAAAAAAGAAAACTTTTCACCTTCTATTATGAGACTACAAATAAGTCATCAAGGAAAATTAAACAATATTGAAGAAAGTTTCTATAACTTTTGTCAATGTGCAGCTAAGCAACACCTGTGTCGACAACTTTTCTCTCATGGTGAAAATGGCTGTCGGATCGGACGGAAGTGAGGTCTTCAAACAGTGATACACAAACAGAGCGCCCGGCCATAATGAAATCAACATAATTTATATCCAATTGACAAGCTTAACTTTGTGTCAGATGCTTAAACTCTAAGGGTCGAGAAACGAATTAGCTGAGCGTATCACCGGCAATCAATTATTAATCGCTCGTAGAACAATTGAGTAATTTATTTCTAAATCGATCACAGCCCTGTGACGCTAGAATCACGTAAATAATAGGCCTACAGCTGTGGCAATTTTGGTTTCCATTTTTTGTGTTCATTCGGTGTGTAATGGGTTTTAAGAGATCTTAACTTCTAGCTTGGAAACAGAAAACGACCAACACCGGTGTAAAAAGTTCCATTGAGTTTACGTTCGGTGCAGTGAAAATATCATACCAGGTACTTTTTTTTTGCTTTTTGGCTGTTTGTTTTTTCCTCGCCTAGTTTTCTTTTAGTTTATTTGTTGCGTTTTCAAGCATCAGTACAAGAATTTTGATTTTTATCTCGCTTTATCTCGTCGCAATGGTTCCTCTTTTAGAGGTGTCAAGTTACTTTTATCTTTTGCTAACCTATTGCTGCTGTCTCGAGTTCTAAATTCTTAAAACGGTAGTGAAACTTGCCCTTTTATGAAATTTGAAAAAAAATTCTTAGCACGATTACTTTCAGAGTCCCAATCTTTTCAATGGGTTTTTTTTCTTTTTTCGAAGACGAAAAAACTTGTCTTGGTTTCTTTCCTATTAAAAACCATCGCTGTACACAAAATTGTACCCAGAATATTCATTTATCATTAGAACGGCCTGTTTCGGATACCTTGTTTGCAATAGCCGTATCAAAACAGCACAGAAACTCTATCACAACTTTCCTGTTGTTTACTCAACTAAATCGGCTCGTGTGAGTCAACTTTTGGAAGAGGAATCATTCGCTCTGGTTGACTACTATTAGAAGAAAAAATTATTCCCTGAACTCGTCTACAACAAACCTTTTAACGACGCAAAATGTTTTCCCAAAGCAATTTTCTTCCGTGTCGTTTACACAAGCCATTTTGAAAGATTTTAATTTGCCATTTCGCTTTTAGCCGGCAACTAACTAATTGGGCCATCTTGTCGCTTTCACCCTGAATTCATGATTAAACATTGTGGCATTAATTCTAAACGGTATTACAGCCAAAACGTGGTATCCGGTCATAAAATTGGCGTAATTTTCTGGTTTGGCTTTACATTTTCGCTCTATGAAAAGTCCACGATGGGAAAAGAGCCTTAAATTGACTTCAGAGTTTGTCAAGCGATGAGAGGACCATGAACTCTTTTTATGTTTCATCTTAACTTGACGGTAACTTGTCTCTCTTTCATTTTCCTCAACATTGTTCTTCGTTTGTGACTCATTTTACAGGGAAGTATCCAGATAGAATGTCGTATCAGTTCTCGCCAGCGACTCATGGCCTGCCGAGCCTTGCGCAATATCTACCCCCGGGCTGCAAATTTCTGAGCTGCCACGATGCACAAAACGTCCTAAGAAGTTGTTCGACTTGGAGACTTCCCAACGGAACTCTGGTTGCTCCGCTGGGCGGGGAGCTTTACCAAGTTGTGGAAGTTCCCGCTAACTGCGATGAGCGCTGCTCTTATCACGAGGTACGGTGTGGGTTTTTTTTGGTCATTTTACATGTTAGTTTCAAGAGTGCGGTAACGAATTGACACATTTCACGCGCAGAGCTCCACTTGAAAAGGCAACGAAGGCAAAACGGAAGACATTTCATGTTCAATACACGTAGTTTTACAATCTTTCTTCTGCTCATCTGGGGTTTAATTCGAAGCTAATCAAACAAAAGGGTAAAATTTTATTTCTCTCGATCAAAATTCGTCGTCTCAGTTGGAAAATATGGAAGCGAGTTAAATTTTGATTCGGAGAAAATTGCTCTTTATGATTTCTTCCGCAACGGTAAAATTTCCAACAAGCTAAATGCAATATTTTGTTATTTTCACAACCACGAGGGCGTAGCCTCGCAGCATGATGTTAAGCACTTTTTTGTTTCGTGCGGTTTCCTAAAGAACAACTTCTCTTGTCGATCTGAACTTGGTATTTAATAGTTCACCGTTAAAAATTCATAGAGCTGGTCATAAATTTGTTTTCGTTTTCGACAGAAGCCTCTAAAAATTCATGTTCAACATAAAACATAACTTAAACACTTGAAGTAAAATTCCGTGTGCAAAGATTTGATGTTATTCTCCCTCAAGCGAATGTAACGCATTTCCATCGCCAAGAGAAATATTTTATTTTAAAAAGCAAGGAATAATGCTAATTTCTGCTTACAAAAACTACTTTTTAAAATACTTTTAAAAAGAAATCGACGCGGTGAAATAAAATATTGAATTACTCTTCCCCAAAACAGAAACCCTGTTGTTTTTGAACTGGCACCTGTTTCAGTCGATTTAACTACAAAATGTTTCTCCCACAACGGACTTTGAACGGCAAATAATATTACAGTTTCTTCAAATTTCCAGCTTACTTGAGGGACATAAAATAGCGATGTGATATTATTAGGAATTAAGCGAACCGTCTTAGAAACTTAGCCCTTGGGTCAGAAATAATGAGAACTTAATTTCCACGACCAGTAATTAAAACTTAACTTTCGCCAAGCCAACATAAACAGAATTAAAATTCTGATAGGCAAAGACAATGACAGTTTGTTCGTCTGAAAGGAAACGCAATTTTAAGATTAGAATTTAAATGTGTAGTCTCGACTGTTTATAAAATTGTAGTAACGCCTCGAAAGAGCTTCTTAACGACTGCCTCAGAGAATGCAAAAACAAACTTAAACCCAAAAATAAACGTCAAAACTATTCTCTTAACGCTGAGTAAAACATGTGAAAAAGAAAAAAAGAGAAAAAAAATTTTCGCTAATTTGAATCTTGAAGGATATCGACAGTTTCCGTTTACAAGTGGATCGATTGACAAAACCCGACGACACGTACATAACACATAAAAATAATTAAATTTGTTCAATATAATATCGACAAATAAGGCAAGGATTTCTTGCAGCTGCACGGATTCGCACACTCGTTTTCTTTTCCTCTTTTTCTCTCTCTTTATTTATGTTATCCGCTCCACACGTAGAAAACAAAACTTTTTAGCCCTGAATAGGAGTCCAGTATGGTTCGATATGGCTTTTCACAAAAGGCGCAATTTTCCGTGAAATTAAATTATCGCTACAAAACAATTGGACAAGTATAAAAGTGTGAGAATGTCTTTGTGCAGTTTTTCTCAAGGAAATTAACAAAGTGTTCCTATGATGAAAAGTGCATTTTTACGTACTACGAATAATTTTCCAGATTAGTCTTTCCCTTTCTTTAGATGAAGCATAAAATATTGTTTATCTTAGGCTGCTTTTCCAGAAAAAAAGTGACTTAGAAACGATCGAGGGAATATAATAACCAAGTAATAAAAAAATATACTGAATAATAAAGACAGAAATAAAATATTTAAAATAAAATATCCAAAAAAATTCCAATTCTATCTCGTCTGAGTTATTTTGATAAACGATACACTGAGAAAACACTTGGAACAGCGTTTCAATTATAAAAGAGTGTTTTTGATATTCAGTGTGCATGCACACAAACTTTGAGGAGGACTTTTAAAGGCCTTAGTCTGCGACGCTGATACCATCGATACACCATTTTAAAAAGACTCAGTCAACATGAACAGGTAAACGATATTTTCTCTAAAAATATATATATGTTAAAACTAACATGTTTTTTTTAATGTTTTTTTTTTCTTCCTCTAGCCCCGAGGGACACCGGCTTTGTTGTCTGAAAATTCGCCACTGCTTCGTAATGAATGGTTCCGTTTTCGACACTTGTCTGAACACGAAAGCTCCTCCTGTTACTCCGACGGGCTCAAGAGGTTGCCTCTTTTTTACACAGGTAAGATGCTTTGATTTTCTATCTTCATATCTACCCTTTCCAAAAGAAAGCTATCGTTAAAAAAAAAGGAAAAAAAATCCAGCACATACAACTAGAAAGTCTTAAAATAGTGCTATTTTCGTCAAAAGACAAAACACGTTTTTATATTAGCTGGTTTCAACAATACGACAAGCTTACAAATGATAACTTCTAGCCAAATTCTTTGAATTTCATGTCTCATTTCTTTTGCAATATAACACAAAAGTTGAAATGGCAAGTCTCTTCTGGATGCGACTCATATCACTTTAAGACACAATTGCTTCGATATCTCAGTGATTTACAGATACACCATGATTTTCTAGTAATTTCTTCATATTGACAACGGAAGGAATCGTCTTTGACTCCTTCCTTTCAGTCCCTTCATTTTGGTTTCAATATATCAAGGAACTTTAAATTATACATAGTTCAAACCAGTAGTGCTCTCTCTTTTTATTCAACGATCACAATTATCCTCTGTCGAACTTGGTCATTTGAAATCGTTATTGAAAAGTTGAAGTTTTGTTGAAGTAAATTTTCTATCTGAAGTGAAGTTTGAAGTTTTACACAGAATTAAAACGATGCTCTGATATGGATCAGTAAATATTGCGATCATTTATAAGTATTTTCAGATTTTTCCTTCAACTTCGCATTTTGATTTATAACAAGGAACCTTTGAAAAGCTTAAGTCAAAATTAAACCTTATAGTGCCTTCATAAAGCTTTCAAATATTTCGCCACTTTAAGCTTGCTTTTTTCATGCAGGAAATGATCACTTTGTGAGATAAAATTCTTCTAAAAAAGCGTCAGCAATTCTCAAAACTGGCTATAACTAACCGCTAATTTATAATTAGGGATGAATTTTGTAACAGTGGAGTACCTTTAGAAAATCCTATACCATACACGTTTGGCAAAACACCAGGATAATATTCAGACCGTAGGTTTTGTCGTTTGTAAATGCTTGTAAATGTTCATGTCTTGTGTTTGCCTTTGCATACCTCGTATCAAAGTTTTGATAAGAGACCGGTTGTTGACAGAGCGTTAATTTCCCCGTAAACACGTTTTTCCCAAAAATCGATACACACGCAAGCAAATTCTCACACCGCGCGAAAATGAGAACTTCTGAAACATTCGCTGAGAAACTGCTATTTTTTATTTCACACACAAATGCAAAGACGGCTTTCTTTTCTTAATTTAAAATCTACACACGCCGGTCTTTGTTTTCAACTAAAGAACCAGGTGTCAGATAGAAAAGAAACGCAAACAACTTTACCAATGATCTGTATGTTTTCTACAAAAAATTAATTTCACCACGACTTTTAAAAATACCACGAGAGACTTCAAGTGCAAAAACGGACTAAATAGTTGGTTTCAAAGTTTCTTTTTGACTACTCGAAGTTAGCTTATTAAATCAATATTTATCTCTCTTCGCTTGGGGAACACGGATTTCTCTCAACACAAAGCAATTAGTTGAATTTCAAAGCGGAAAGCAATGTCGTTAAAAATTGGATTCTTCCTGTAATTCCCATCAGGAAATTAATATCAAACATCGATTCCAACTGCAAATCACTGTCAATAACAAAATCATTAAATTTGAGTTAACGTTGATACAATACGTTTATTCATGTGCCAAGCGAGAGATGATGTGCTCAAAATTTGTTTGTCAGAGTCCCGCCGCGAATTTTCATTGCGCTATTAATAGTACGAAGTTATCCCAGTGGCTCATTAAGACTTTTCTCTGCTCACCTTCCAGATGGCCGCCGCTGCAACTGTCAACTTTGCGCCACGACGATGTATCCCGACAGGCTTTACGAGCATCACCTGTCACAGATGAAACCGCATGACGTGGTGTGCGGACTCAGAGAGGAAAGATTTTCTCCTTTGGTAAACAAGCAGAGTAATGAATCCCCGGACAATCCAGCAGCCTACCCGTTTACCCTTGCGCTCCCGCAGTCTTCCACATCACTGACGTCGTCACAAGAGGAACAACGAAGACAGAAACAGAAGCGATTTCAGTGTATGCATTGCGAGAAATCTTTTGGAAAATCTTCACACCTGCGTGATCACATCAGAACTCACACCGGGGATCGCCCGTTTCGCTGTCAGTTTTGCAACAAAGCTTTCACCCAGTACTCGAACTTGCGCACGCACACGCGAATTCACACGGGCGAAAAGCCATTCAAGTGTCACCACTGTAACAAAAGCTTTACACAAGCTGTCACGCTAAGAAGTCACACAAGGACTCACACGGGTGACAGGCCTTATCACTGTAAGAGGTGCAGCAAATCGTTCGCCTGTTTTTCCGGTTTGAAAGGACATCACAGGGTTCATTCGGATACGGAGCAAGATGAACTGGAAATTTAATAAAACGCAAACGACTAAAAGAGAATCACAAAATTGTCAACATGACTTGTAAACCACGCCTGATATACTAAGTATAAAAACAGAATTTTCGCCAATAGTCGTGTTCAACTTCATATCCATCCTGACCGAAAGGAAAAACTGCACAAGGAAAGTTACTCCAAGATAACTTACCCGTTTTACAATCGGTCCGGTAGATCCTTCTGCAAATGACAATCGAAAATGAAAATTTACCTCTAAGAAAACTTTTCATGAAAGATTGAAAAACCCAGTTTAAAAAAGTGTGAAGGTCTTCAGTCAACGCACTGAGCTCATATAATTGCAAAAAATAACCGTCTGGATAATGTTCATATTTACGTAATGTATGTTGACTATACCAGTCACACAAATGCAGTACTTAATATAAAATCAAATTTTCCTGGGTGCGAAAACACCTGAACGACGACAATTTGATTCAGGATGCTTCTTTCGCTTTTTTTATGAAATTCTCGATTAGAGTTACGTCACTGGCTTTCAACTTTTGGAGAGGGTCTATTACAATGGAGATTTTAAAGAGAATTGTGAGCCAATTTCTTCCTATTTTCCACTGCCGTTTCTGCCGAGTCTGTACTGCACTTTTGAGCTCTAATTTTTGTGTTAAATGTGAGAGGTGTAGTTGAACAGATATTAGAAATAATATTGTAAATACAAGCACTCTTCTTTCTGTATAAAATAACAAAGAATTGTATGAAGTCCTGTGTCTTGTTTTTGGTGTTTGGCCCAGCCTTGCGATGGAACGCCACAATAATGATTTCCTATCTCCTCCCCTCCTGGCGTAGGGTCGGGGGGGGGGAGGGAATAGGATATTTGTCGATGAGTCGACAAAACGCTTCTAAGAACAGTAGGCACAGTAAAAATAAAAAAAAACCCCAAATATTTGTACTGATTTACCTTGTACCCTGTATAATTTGCAGCAAGTTTTCCTGTTTTCGATTTATATTGTTATTTCACAAACAACAGCTGCTCCGAATGCAATCTTTACCCTCACCCGTGGAATAAATGCCCACGTAGCCAGAACTAATAAACTTGCGGCCAGGCCCTCATGCATTATAATATTAGGGAGTTTAAGAAAACCACGACGACAACGGCAACGGGAACGTCACTAAACAAAAGGTGTAATGATCAGAACAAAGCTGTGCACGTGCGTTATAAATTTTTGTTGATTTCTCAGCGTCCTGTGCAAAACAACAACGTGAAATGACCAAATTTAACGCTGTGTTCCATATTCAGTTTCGAGATAGTTTTGACCGTGAAAAAACAAACGACTTTTGAGTATTGTGAGATCCGGAGGTAAAATGGAGATTTACTTTTTTTAACCGACGTTGTCCACGGCGTCGCCGTCGTCGTCTATTACACTCCCTATTAGCGCTGTAGAACGCGCGTTTACTCTACCTGTAGGAAGATTTGGGACAAGTAAGGCAGAGGTTTGCCGGGGCTTTAGCCTCATTATCAGTACTACACC